TTTTACTATAAATTTAAATTTAAAAATAATAATTTTTTAATAAATATATTATAAAATTGATTGAATCGAACGGTGTATTTAACATTTTCTAGAGAGTAACTTGGGTCAAAAAAGCATGGCGAAGGAAATGCTGAAACGCACGCAAAAACTTGCGGTAAAGATTTATTCTGAGGTCTAAAATCTAAATAAGTAAATAGCAAGCTTCAAAATGATCTTGTGTTAATCATCTTCTTGGAACGATAGCGGATAGCTAGGACCCAGGAGCAAGACTGAGCCGGGCTAGCTTTGGTGGAGTATAAAATTTTGGGCTGTAGGCTAGAAGCCCAGTCTTGCTCTTGAAAATGGGTTGGGACTTGGGAACTGATCTTTTAAAAGTCAATGTAATTTTTTTTTTTGTATTATCCAAAAGATATATTAAATTTTAATTAATTTAGAGCCAAATTATATCAAATTCTATAAGAGAAAAGCTTTTGCAATGTCTATTTCTTTATTTATAAGATTCAAATTTAAAACTTTATTTAAAAAGAATGAAACTCTTTCTATTCAAACAGAATGAAACTCTTTTTATTCAAACTAACAGATTGTTGATTAAGTTAACCTAATTTATGGCTTAATATTTAGCAAAGTCTCACAGTCACGGTGTTACAGACTTGTTTCCTAAATGGCCATACAGATTTATAATTTGTGGAACCTTCAAAGTTTGAGCAAAACATCTATTTTTAGCCCTTTATTTTGTCAAGTTTGAAGGTTTTAGCCTATCATTTTATATTATGACATTTTTAACCTCTCACCTTATTAGATTTGTAGGTTTTAACCCCTCACCTTATATTATGACACTTTTAGCCGTTCATCTATTAAAATTAAAGAAAATAACCCTCACTTTATAACATTTTATTAGTTCTATTAACTGACTGTTAATTCCGTTAGTTGACTATTAATTGACTATTAGTTGTCAAAAATTTTCTTTCAGCTAACAGAGTTTTTGACAACTAACAAAACTAATTTTATAATATTTTGTTAATTCTGTTAATTCTATTAACTGACTATTAATTGACTATTAGCTGATAAAAATCTACTTTCAATTAACAAAGTTAACAGTCAGTATAAAGTAAGGGTTATTTTCTTCGATTTTAATAAATGATGGACTAAAACCTACAAATTTAATAAGGTAAGAAACTAAAACCTTCAAACATAATAAGGTGAGGGGCTCAATATAGGTTTTTGCCCAGCGTTCGGAGGAGGCAGGGCTTAAGCCACTGATGAGGGCCTAAGGCAAGGCAAGGCAAGGTCGGGCTTAAGAAGACTTGGGTAGGGCCCATTAGAGAAAAAGAAATGGACCCGATCCATACTTTGCAAAAGTATTTTGTAAGTCATTATTTTAAATTTTTTTATAAAAAATTCGGAAAAAAAAACTCTTTTTTAATTTTTTTAAAATTAATAGTGCGATTAAAAATTCTATTCATATATTCTATAAACTATATATATCAATTTTTAAATTAATTTAATAACTTTAATTACTTCATTGATTATATCAAATTTAATATCATTAAACCCAAGAGGATGAAAGCCTGCCTAACCAAACTAGTTTGAGAAGTTATTCTCAAATTTTAATCTTAGAATCAAGATATTGACAATTTAGTAAGTACTGATTAAGCCATTTATAATTGTTAGAGATCAGCTTTTTTTTGTTTATAAAAAATTTCTTATAGTAATTTTTAAATATTAATTTTAGAGAAAAAGGAAAATCAAGGTATATTAGCATTAAAAATATTAAAAATATTAAGACGTTTAATAATAATTATTAAATGTATAAGATACAGTATCAGTTTTAATTTTATTAAATTCATCATCATATCATTATTATTAGATATATTGATATTTTTAATACTAAAATTTTTAATTTTTTTTAATTTTAAATATTTTATTTTACAATTCAAAACAATTTAACCTGTAAAACACTAATATTGTAATTAATTGTTATTAATACTAATTTAAAAATAAATTTTTAAGCACGTCTTTTTTAATAAAGAAATTTTGAGAGCACAAGATAAACTACACTAATCTCGTAAAAAAGAAAACAGTACTGGATAGTTACTGAATCCGAACCCGAAAGTCTCCTTTGGCAGAAAATTTCCCCTTTCCTCCATCAATGCACTGTCGGAGCTCCTCTTTCACTCATCTTCTCTAGGTTTCCTCCCTCCAATTTGAGCTTCTCTCTTTCCCTTTATGTAATTTCTAAGTGTATCCATATGGGGTATTTTCTGATTGTGGAATCCTTCGTCTTTCTGTTGTAATTTTCTTGATCCTGTAAATCTCTGATTCGATTGAGCTTGTGTTTTGCTGATGGTTGTTTGAAATCTTAATTTTTTCCTCAGTTTAGTTTCGGTTTCAGTGATATCTGAACGAAGATGAAGGAAATGGAATTCTGATTGTTAGGGAAACTGTTTTTTAGCAATTTTTCGTTCTTTGTTTGTTCCTGATGATGGGTCTTCATGAAATTAGAATGAATTGTGTGAATTGGGTTTTGACTTTAGGAGAGGAAGTTTCTGTAATTTGTTTGATTAAAGTTTTTAAACTGATTGAGCTTCTGCATTGATGAATTTGTGATGATTTTTAGCTTGACTGTGTGTGAATTATCTGATTTTAAGTTTTAACGTTGCTGGTTCTGGTGTTTGGGTTTAGTGAGTAGGTTGTGGTAATATGACTATGAATGAGAGGAAGACAATCGACCTTGAACAAGGATGGGACTTCATGCAAAAAGGGATCACAAAGCTGAAGAATACTCTTGAAGGGCTGCTGAAGAATACTCCTGAAGGGCTGCCGGACCCTCAGTACAGCTCCGAGGATTATATGATGCTCTACACGTATCCATTTCCGTCTTATTATATTTGCTTAGGAGTTTAAATATACTAATTCATCTTTGTTTTAATGGCATATGATGCAACCCTGCTTAATTTGTTACCTTAATTATATTTTAAAGAACCATCTATAACATGTGTACACAAAAGCCGCCTCATGATTATTCCCAGCAGCTGTACGACAAGTACAGAGAGTCTTTTGAAGAATACATCACATCAACGGTGAGGATTGACGATATTGCTTTTAAGTTTTATGCTGTTTATTCAGGTTATGTGGTTAAATTATATTGATTTGTTTCCAAAACCAGATTGCGGTAGTTTAGCAATCATATTGATCAAATTCATAATCATGTGTCTGTCTCTTTGATTTGAAATTTTTGATAAGAAATAGTACTATTTTTAATTTTTCAATGCCTTATGTATTTTTTATGATTAGGTGTTGCCTTCTTTAAAAGAGAAACATGATGAATTTATGTTAAGAGAACTCATTAAAAGATGGGCGAACCATAAAGTTATGGTTAGGTGGCTTTCTCGTTTCTTCTTTTATCTTGATCGCTACTTCATTGCTCGGAGGTCACTGCCTGGCCTTAATGAAGTTGGACTCACTTGTTTCCGTGACCTGGTATGTATAGAATGGATCCTTTTATCTTGATACTGTCATTTTATTCTATAATTTTTATTAAGATATCATATTGTATTATCTGCTGCAAAATTGAAAGCCTTTTTCATCATGATTATGTGTTTCTTGTATGAACT